AAGAAAAAGCTATCAAGAAGCTATAGAAAAAAAATTGATACTTTTTCATTAATCAGCTGTCATAACTAATATTGTCGATAAAAAATTAATTCCAAAGAACTGAACAGTTCTGATGGGAGTTTTGATGGAAGTTCTGAATAGCGCTGGACGAGTTCTTCCAAATATTTTCATCGTGTTTTAGAAAGAAAACGATACTTTTCTATTCACTAGCTGTCATAAGGTGCCGACCCCAAAAAGTTAATATTTTTGATAAAAAATTTATTCCAAAGAACAGAACAGTTCTGATGGGAGTTCTGAATAGCGCTCGACTAGTTCTTCAATATATCTCATCATGTTTTAGGAATAAATCAATACCTACTTTTTTATTTATCAGCTGTCATAATGGACCGATCTAAAAAAATTTTCATTATCCATAAAATATTAATAAAAAATAAAGAATTACTCAGGCAATCATTGATCACATTCATAATGAAATTTAATTTATTATATGAATCATGCTCAATTCAAGCATTTCAAAACTTATTTTATCGATTCCCATACATTTAGATTTAAGCTGTTTAAAGGCACTATATATATCTACATCAGTAACTGTTCTCAAATTCATTGATGATTCTAGGTTATGCCTATGATTTTTTAATTGGTTCAGCACTTCATCATTGATTTGGACTGCTAGGCTGCTCACATTGCTCACATTACTAAAACATTTGTTATAATACCATTTGGATCTTTCAGATGAGCTGGGATTACTAAAAAGGAGGAGAATGTACACTCCACTGATTTAATTTTTGCCAAAGTTTTTTAGAATTTTTCTCAATTTCATTCATTTCCAAAATTCATGTATGTCTTTTTTCTTTCCTGATTGCGAATGAGAAATAGCTTTTGTTATCCAAATAGTAGGTAAAACTTATGTTCTTGATTCTGCATAGGGTTTGTATGCTCCTTTCAAACATAATGTTTTCAGTGGTACATGAATGTCAAACAAATCAATTAAATGTTGATTAAATATACCCATTCTGTCATCAACAGATTCACATTATGAATTTTTTTATAAGATTATTGCTTTGCCTGTCAGCATTGAGAAGCTATAAGTTGAAATTTTGTAAATTTGTATATGTTATAGTTTTCTCCACATGCTCAGGAATATTTATGTCAATTTCACACTTCACAAATCTGTGATCAGTTTGATTATATTTCCATTGTGCAGGCTTCACTTACTTCTATGTTTTCATCAATACAAATTACTTCTATCAAATTACTCACTGTTCTGGATACTCTTGTTTGTTCTGTAATAATTTGCTTCAATTTGAAACATGCCAGTAATTGCTTCAAGTACATTTTGTCACAGGTTTCCTCAAAATAATTTATGTCAAGGTCACCTAACAGTATTGTGTGGTCGAATTGCATAGAAATTGTCGAGGGGTAAATCACGTGGGAAGTTTAGTGTACAGACACAAGGAAGTTCGAGGAAGTTTGGGGAAGTTCGAGGAAGTTTGGGGAAGTTTGAGGAAGTCTGGGAAGTTCGAGGAAGTTTGGGAAGTTCGGAGAAGTTTGGGGAACAGAACAGAAAGCAATGATTAGTCGAATATTCATTTCTCGATTTTTTCATTTCAGCAAATAAGAGATGCTGTCAGATAACTCAATAATACCTACCTACCTGAAAATTCGTGGTTCTGAAAAATTGCATTGCATAGATAATTAGATCGGTAATTAGTTAGATGTTTGATTTCTGTTGGTGGATTATTCAAAGGTGTAAGTCTAATTTCATTTTGTATTGAATTACAATGCAGATATTCATGACATTCAGTTTCCCTTGCAGTAAAGTACTTTTAAGTTAAGGTATACTCACCTATACCTGCCTATACATATACGTAGTACGTACAGTCAGATGCAATGAACATGTCGCACTAGGGCGGTGATGGCACCTATCTAGTCACTTCTGCAATAAGAGCGCTAACACCAGCCAACCGCGATATTTTCTTTGCATCTTACTGAACCTATACACCTACCTACCATATAGGGAAAGGAAAAATAGTTGAATAAAATTGCTTACCTGGCGAGTTACCTGGTTTGTGAAGTTTGAAAAGTTTCGTGGAGTTTAGGAAGTTCGAGGAAGTTTGGGAAGTTTGAGAAAATTTGGGAAGTTCGAGGAAGTTTTGGGAAGTTCGAGGTAGTTTGGGGAAGTTCGAGGAAGTTTGGGAAGTTCGAGGAAGTTTTGGGAAGTTCAAGGAAGTTTGGGGAAGTTCGAAGAAGTTTGGGGAAGTTCGAGGAAGTTTGGGGAAGTTTGGGAAGTTTTGGGAATTTCGAGGAAGTTTGGGGAAGTTCGAGGAAGTTTTGGGAAGTTCGAGGAAGTTTGGGAAGTTCGAGGAAGTTTTGGGAAGTTCGAGGAAGTTTGGGGAAGTTCGAGGAACTTTGGGTGATTTGGGGATGTTCAGGTAGTTTTGGAGGTTCGAGGATGTTTGGGAAATTTCCGAAGGACCAAGCAAGCTGTGAACGTTTGGGCGGAGACGGTCGGGAAAAATCTTTGGCTAGATAATCCAAGAAACTTATTATCTCAGGATATACAGAGCTGTGGTGACAAAAACCTAGGGGAGATTCCTCTCAACAAATTATGAAATCAAGTTCATATGAAAATGGGTCCGAAAATGCTTCGTTTCCGAGATACAAGGTGTCCAAGATAAAAGAATTATGGGTTTTTTATTATTGCTTGAGGCTTCTGTCAAGGCTTTTGTCGACACAACTCTGAAACACCCTGTATAGAAATGAAATTTAACATAATTTCAAAGAGTTCATTATTATTTCGGAACTTTCAACAGATCAACCTACCTACCTAAAAATTCGTGGTACAGAAAACCTGCATCTGCATTGCATATGTAATTAGTTTGATAGTTGATTTCTGTCGGTGGATTAATCAAAATTGTAATGAAGTGGAATTCCATTTTGTATTGAAATACAGTGCAGATATTCATGACATTCAGTTTCAAATTCCTTCCAGTAAAGTACTTTCAAGTTTAGGTATCCACAGGTATCCACCTATACATATACGTAGGTACCTACCTATACAATGTGATCTGGTTTGTTATACAAAATATTCAACAGTGTGTTGTACTCGGTTGAAATTATAAGAAAAATCATATAAACAATGATCTCAAACGCTTCGTTTTCGAGATATAGGGTGTTTAAAATACGAGTCTGAATATTGTTTTTTGATGAAAAGTTCGAAATGGTTTGAGATAAATCCACAAAATTACCCCTTAACTTTTTACGCTCTATCAGATGAAATGAAAATTATGTATAATGAATGTAATGAAAGTATTTTATTATTTCAAGGAGAACACCACACTGTTGAATTTTTTGTTTAACAAACCGGACCACCCTATATATATATCTACCTACCATAAGAAAAGGAACAAATTTTGAATCTATCAATACTAAATTGCTTATAAGTACTTGGTTTGTGACGTTTGAAACGTTTCGGGAAGTTTAGGAAGTTCGAGGTAGTTTGGGAAGTTCGAGGAAGTTTGGGAAGATCGGGGAAGTTTGAGGAAGTTTGGGAAGTTTGAGGAAGTTCGGGGAAGTTCGGGGAAGTTTGAGGAAGTTCGGGGAAGTTTGAGGAAGTTTGAGGAAGTTCGAGGAATTTTGGGAAGTTTTGACCCATGGGAAGTGGAAGTTTGGTGTACAATTTTTTTCGCCGTGATTTACCCCTCGGAAATTGTACTAAATTCGTCCTCTACTATTTTCTCCTGTTTTCTGTAAGACACTTTTGGTGGCCTATTATGATTTAACTATTAATATCTCAACAAACCTATAGCTGGTCTGAACTGAAATTTAGTTCACTGTTGGTAAATGAAATATCTATTAATTTGCACTGGAACAGTTTTGACACATAAAGTGCTACAGCATCTCCATGTCTAGGGGATCTATCAGCAGGAATGAGAGTATAGGAAAAATTATTAGGAAACTGTAAAATTTTGCAAAATATTTGGAAAAGTTAAAGTAGCCATAACTATTTTTTTTCCAAATGGAATGCTAATGTTTGTTCACTAAATGAAGAAGAATTAAATCCCACATAGATCTGTATTAATATATTAGGCCACTGACTAGACAAAGTTCACATTAATTCACACATCCCTTTTTTTGCATGTTGTAAGGTTATTTCTCAGTGGTATAAAACCAAGTTTGCAGCCTTGAAACACCTAGGCTAAAAGTGTGGTGTTTAAAAAACCTGGAAATTTCACAACTAATTTCGATTTTTAGCCCAAAAGTCCGAGCAAAAGTCCAACCATTCAAGAGATCACTAAAAAGTACCATCATAATGTTGAATTTGTTTTTCCTTGGAGAGATATTGGAGCAAAACTAAATTTCAGTTTGTCTTGATCAACTCAGAAATTACTAAGTAATGCTAGTCAAGATTTCTTGAGGGATTCTGAATCACAATTGAATTTGCTGAAACTTTCATAATTTAACCAACTCACTAGCTCTCACACATGATATATGGAATCACTCATTGTCTAGGAGTCTTGCCAGGGTTATGGGTGAAAAAATCCACCTGCCTCTTGGATTAAAATAGGATATTGTGATGTGGAATCTATACACCTAGTCACTGAATATATATTTCCAGAGAATGATGCTGACCTCTGTTCTGCCTCAGGTTCTCCTACATCTTGAACTACCAACAGCTGACAATTGATTCTACCACTACAGGAGCTCAGTTCAAGAGGCCTTATAACTCCAAAGTTTGATTTGAAAGCTGAATTCGAATTCCAAGCCAACAGTGGAAAACCAGGGACCTCATGAATTGGTGTTGAATGGAAAACTCATAGATATAGAACCTAGTATGGAACATATTGACGTTTCTGTTCAGTTTCTGGAGGAGAAAATCAAGGAGCAAATAGATGATCCAGTCACAGTAATAAATTTTCAATCTATCTACCTAGTCTATACTACCTCAAATGATAATGTGAGTGAACTAGAGTAAATATGGACTACTATCTTCAACATACCTAACAAATATTCCAATGAAAATAGTGAATAGTGCTAATACAGTGGCTATCCTTCTCACTATTTTATCGCTCGAAATCAAAGTTGTGATGTCGAAAATTTGTTTAAATATTAAGTTCACCATTACCATTATTTTTGTTTACATTCACATTAACTAACCTTACATTTTCATTCATTCTCTTCTTCTCACTTCCTCCTGGCCTCTTGTCATAACATACGTGAAGTGGGCTGCCACAGCTGGCTGTCAGAATTTCCGAACTTTCCCGATCGACCAGTGGCACACGCTTCCCCCCTTTTTGAGTAGGATACAGGTAACGAATATCAGCGTACATACATTAGAAGGTCATTGGCGGCCGTTTTCAGAGATCAAAGGATTTTCAGACTTTGCACCTACTTGTCTAATGTATATACGCTGCGAATATCAAAATTCCTGTTTGCGATGATGCGATGTATGTAGTTGAGCTCGGCGATAAATATCTAACCTATTATTATCATAATTGATAATAAGTGTCCAGTGTCCTAGAGCAGCTTACTTAAAAAAAAACAATAATATAAAAGCATTGTGAAAGCACTGCACAGTTGCTTTTGGGTCTCGCATCATTCTCTATAGAATAATCATTCCTTACCAAAATATATGCAGCAGCTCGAAGGTTTTACGCCATTCGGGGTGAAGAAAAATGGTTTGCAGATTAAGGAAGGGCATTTATGGACTGAAGCAAGCGGCCAAGATATGGTACGATCGCTTGAACGACTGCTTGAACGAATTCGGATTCAAGCAGATCGAAGCAGATTCATGTTTTTACATTAAAGACTATGGTACCGAGAAACTCTACCTAATAGTATATTATGTCGATGATTTTTTAATAGCTGCAAAAGACCCGAAAAAGATCGACCAGGTAGCAAAATTTTTGAGCAACTCAAGGACCTTATTGGAATCCTACGATATTACATCAAAGTCAGACAAAATGAAGATGGCTACTTTTGTCTTAAGCAGTCAAAATATATAGAGTCTATCTTAGGAAAATTCGGACTGCAAGATGCAAAAATTTCCAATATACCAATAGATCAAAGTTATCAGAAAAATCGAGATGATCTATCACCAATGTCAGAAAGTGAAAGATATCAGCAGCTGATTGGATCGTTATTATATCTAGTAGTAAATACCCGCCCAGATATTGCAGCCAGCGTAACGATACTCAGTCAGCATAATAAATCGCCAACATTATCCGATTGGAATGAGGCAAAAAGGATCGACCGCTACCTGAAAGGTACTAAGGATTATGAACTCCGGCTTGGTAGGAAGGACGCAGTACCTGCTATAATCTGCTATGCAGACGCAGATTGGGCGGAAAACCGCATGGACAGAGAGTCAAACAGTGGCTATCTATTCCTTTATATCGATGCACCAAAATCAGCCGTGCGTTTCACTATCAACTGCAGAAGCGGAGTTTATCGCTCTCGCGGAAGGGATTTGGATACGTCGTTTGCTCGAAGATTTCGAGGGAGGACTGCAAGAAAAATCAATCATCCATGAAGACAATCAAAGATGCTTAAAAATAATCGATAACAAGAACTTAATAAGTCACCGTACTGAACACATCGATACAAAGTACCATATCATCAAAGACATTTAAAAGCCAGCAGCTCATAATAGATTACCAATATTGTCCAACTGCTGAGATGATTGCCAACATGCTAACTAAACCATTAGGAAGAATAAAATTAAGATGCTAAAATTTGTTCCTTCGTGTGCACCGTTGAGGAAGGGTGTTGGAAAAGCAACGCTATGCAGACTCGAAGTTCAGCTGACCATCAGGTCTCAACACCTTGTAGACGAGTGTCAGTAGTTGACATATATCAGAATTGACAAAAAAAAATTGTCAAATCTGTTTTTTATCTATCATAATTTTCAATCATTACAACTCACGTTCTTTTTTGTTCCACTAGAGTACTGCTAAAGAAGAAAATAGACTGTAGTGAATATTTGAATAAAGTTCTCTTAAATATACGTAAAACATACAACCTTATTTTCTAAGAGAATATATATCTCTTGGCCAGATATTATTCATCTTGTTAGATCATTTTCTGTACTAGTCAACCCTATAGACACTTACTAAATAGAATCCGAGGTGCTATAGGAAATTTTCACATTTTTCTCAAAGCCACGATCGAAATTTCGAAATCATTTTCTCAACATTTCAAGATTGTCATATCGAAATTATGAGATCAAATTCTCAAAATTTTCGAAATTTTTAAAATACATCGCATTCTATGTGGCACCAAAACACGCCGTAGTAAAATATTTCAGGCCCTTATATTATACCTATGAATATAAATCCATCAAACAGAAAAAAGTCATAATATTCAAAACATGAAGAAGGCCATTATAATAAGTAAAAAAAAATGTGTGTGACATCGAATGCTTTCATAGCTTTTAGGTCATGGCACAGAATAAAGTAGGTGGTCATGGGTTGCGTGCAAGAACTGTCAAATGACCGACCCTGGAAGGACAACATTGAAACACAATCTCACTTTTCTCATTTGTTTACAAGTGATTGAAATAGTTTTTCACAATTATTTTGGCATACGAATCGTGTTTTTCGGCTATGCATCAATTCGCTTATGCTATCACATTATATGCTGTTGTACAATTCACAAAAACTGCAACGGAAGACGAAGGAATCCGGTTGGTACATTATGATTTAAAAGTAAGTACCTGAGTACTATTGTAATGAACGGGTATCTTAGAGAAAATGGTATGGAGCACTGAATTCTTTTGAACTAAGTACAGTGAAAAATAATTGTCTTGAACAAGAATAACTTTTATCATGCGTCTATACTAGGCAATATTATTACGTGAACGGACGAATGTTTATTTTGAATTGAGTGCAGCATCATTAGCATAAACAAATGTATAGAATAAGTAGGTACGTTACCTTTGTAAAACGAATTCACTGGTCACTTGAGAACGAAGCAGGTTGATATCACAGGACCGAATTGAGAGACAAAAATGACGTTGATTAGAATTTGCAGAGAATTTATAAGTTCAGTAAAGAGGGACTGACTTTAATATGATTGGCTCGAAAGATCAATAAATTATTATTTAGCCCAAATACGTGAAGGAAAGAGCATGTAATTGTCAATTTTGTTAATATTCCTGAAGTGAATTATTATCATAACATTAGAGAGTTACATCGAAATCATCTCACTTGTGCAAATTGAAGTCAAGACATATTAATGAGAATCATAAACCACATTGAATTATTTCTTGAAAAGGGGTTAATGGAAAACTATAGTGAGTGACAGTTTTATTAACATCAAGAGTATGAGTTGAAGCTTCAAATTATTTATCGTCATAACAATTCAGAACTACAACGAAATCTTTTTAGTTTCGCAAATTAATCCTAACATCTGTAATTTATCGCTCAAAAATCTACGAAAAATCTTGCCTAATATAAACACAACATGGAGCTTGTCTTATATTTAATTGATTCTCCCAAAATTTATTGCCAAATTCTGTATAAAAGCAGAAACAATCCGAATGAGAAAAGACAGTCTGAAGTTATTCTTGAAGCAGTCTTGATCAGTCTCTCCAATACGATGTCTCGATCTCCGTTGTGTTAGTTGAAAGTTTCATTAGTGAGCCTCGGGAATAATTATTGAAGTAAATTCATTGAATCTGTTGACCAGAATATAAAATGTCAAGTCTTAAACGTGACTCAATACAAACCGTATCCAGCCGACTTTGTATCTGTCTATCGAACATGCTACGTTCGAACAGTACCAGTGAACTTCGTTAATAATACCTGTGTAAGTGACCACTCAGGTAGATTTATTGTAAACTGCAACTTTGGTGACAAAGACGTAAAAGTGAAGTGAATCTCTCGCCAATTGAAAAAACAAGTGAACAGTGTAATAATGTGCAATCTAAAATGTAAGCAAACTTTGATTTTGTTGCCTGTAACCTCTGCCTGACCATTCTGCCGAATATATGTCTCAGTAACTATCTACATGTTGTCTTATTGTCTACAATCTCAGTCTGCCTCCTGCCTCAATAATCAACTAACCCATTGATCGAGGAAAACTTACTTTGTAACAACCCCCTGTAGTAGGCCAACTAACGAAGAAAGTTGGGGGCATTACAATTGGTGTCAGGTGTGGGGTTGAATTATTCAGAAGCTGTTCTACCCTCAGCGGCAGGAGAAAGACTTGTAGGCATAAGACTGAAAAATGTCACAAACCGGAGACGACGACGAACAGAAAAACATCATTGTTTCCATGCCCATGAACTTGGATGCAATACCAGAGTACAATGGATCAACAAGTATTCACGATTTTCTCCATATCATTGAGGAAACAGCTATTTTAGCAGGATGGACCGAGAGGCAGCAGACAGCTATCACTCGTTTGAAATTACGAGGGGTAGCCAAACAGTTGATCGATTCAGAGCCTGATCTACGAACTACAGCCACCTGGGACATCCTTGAAGAGGCCCTACGTAAGCAGTTTGGAATAGTGCAACTACCTGGGCAAGCCCTCAAGGCATTCATCGAATGTAGACAACGCAACGGTGAGTCGTGCAGACAATTTTTGGCTCGATTAAAGGTCGCTGCAAATAAGACTGTGACCTACACTGCTCGTCCAGATGACAATCGGTTGATTAAACAGAAATTAGCAGCAGACACCACCACGCAGTTTGTATTAGGTTTGCTGAACCCGATCAGGAAGAGAGTACTATCAGCAGAGCCCCTAACCTTAGAAGACGCAGTCAGAGTAGCGGAAAAGGAAGAAACAATAGAAAATCTAACCAAGATACAAGAGAGAGAATGCAGAGCAGTGGAAATAATGAACAATAGACACCAAACATCAACTCCTAGGATCTCAAAATGTTACAGATGTCAAAAGCCCGGACATTTTGCTAGGGACTGCAAAGAAAAAACAAGTGGTAATAGGACCTTGATATGTTATGGTTGCAACAAGCCTGGACATGTGATCAGATTTTATCCTAGAGGATCATCCCAACGAGGTCAAGGTCATGCAAATAGGACCTGGAGCTATCCACGTCAAGATCAGCCCACCAGGACTTCAAACAGAAACGCAGCTGCATTCCAACACCACCATGTAGCTGCT